CATGCATACAACATTTTCCAAATTTTGCAACTTGTCCCAAACTTGCGCATTTTTTCTTCTCTTTTATAAGAGTGAGGAACAACACCGTTGAAGCGTAAATACGTGAGTCAGGCTAATCGCATCACAAATGTCTGCTAATGACAATTTCCTATGATTACGTCAACTCGTGCTAATCCCATAGTTAGCATGTACCGCGGGCTAGATGACCGCAGTGGCTGGAATTAAAGCCATATTTGTGGGAATCACAACTTTTAGAGTAGATTAGAGGATTAGGCAAACATACGCTATTGATTTGCATAAAGGGCTATAAATTACCTGTTACATATACAGCTAGACGTATTCTTGTGCTAAGATTGTTGTTAAAGACGTAGTTGCACACTGTTTCAATTACTCGTATCCGTAATCGTTCCGGTAGATGATGCGAAAAACACGCTTCTAGTTCGGTGACTACTGAAAAAATAAAAACCATAGTGGTACAAATTCTGCGAGGGTTACAGATCAGAAAATTGAAAAAAAGGATTTCTTCAAAAATTTTCACCCAATACTTACCTTTATACATCATGCACGGGTTGATGAACGTGAAAAGTACAGTAAAGAACGCCGAAAGAATTCGCATAATCAATAGAGCATTACCTAAAGAAAGACAAAATCATTATTTACTCGCTGAACATTCAAATATTCAATCATTCGAAAACTCTTGCATACAAAGTTATAAAGTGATGCTGTGAATGAGAACTCCTCTCCGAGTTATGTACAGAAGCTAAGCAGATCAAGCAGCGAGGGTAGGGAGATAAAAGTAGGAGAAAAGCGTCTTATAATAAATCAGGCAGTCCTATCAACAGAGTAGGGAATTTGAACTTGAGCTTAAAAACAACAAGCAGAGGCTCTGCATGGCACATAAGGCTGTGTGTGTGCGAGAAGAGGGCGGATGCGGATCATTTCCGCAATGGTGTCTATTGACGTCAAAAATATTACGATAAATGTTGTGCTATCGGAAGATGATGCTGTTCATGTTGAAGAGATCGTTTCCTACTTTAGTAGAGGCGAGAACGAATTGGGAAGATCAGGAATAAGGAAAAATCCTGTTGAACCTATGGTTGCTTATCCACACAAGAACATACTTTTACTACTTATTTGTTGGAAATTCCCGCTGCTATCAATCGAGCATTCAAACATCCAGCATTTGATTATTCAAACAATAATCAAAGATATAACAAACACTGTGGAAATTATTTATCTTGAAAAATGATAGGATGACTCATGACTCGACCCCACGGCAATCTGATAAAACATTTCTTCTATCCTAGAAATGGAGCGTGGAA